CTTATTCGTTCACAGCATAATACAGATGACAAAGGTGAAAGGTTTTGCCTTTACCTGAGCAAAGCTTAATGCAGCGTATGCCTGTCGATATCCAGTTTGTGATGTTCCCAGTGACATTCCCATTCTCTTATTTTAATAAAATTCAGAACTCTTCAGCCCCCTAGAGCAAAGTTTCAACTTCTTCCCTAAAGTGGTATCAAGCAGTGGGCGTGCGTTCAGCTTGGGTAGCACAGTCATATGGATTTGGATGGGTGTTAGGGAGAGATGTTAGGGTTTGATGTTGGACAGAAAACCAGAGATGAAGTTTTTTCAGGGAGATCTGGTTAGTGTTACGCCCAGATGAGTTTTTTGATGTTCAAGTCAACGTTCTGTGCTCCAGGTTTCACATCCCAGTTTTCTTGGGGCATTTTGGAGTTGGACTTCTTGTCTTTGCCTGTGCTTACCAGGAGGAGGAGATTTGGCCCAGGGGTCCAGGATTTGTTTCATTGAATGTTAGTTGTCTAAAAGTGACACATCTAACCTAGTTTGTTTCTAGCTGCTCCAGTTGCCTGTCTTGGGCACCCATTAAATGATTCCCCAGAAATGCTTGTTTCTCCCTGTTAATTATAAGGGCAGTTCAGTGTGGCTACACGTATCTAAAAGTCAAGTTGTTCCAATTCCGTGACGTTCATCTCGCCTCTGCTGAACAAGTCAGTTGGTAAAATCAAGCAGCTGGGGGGCGGGGGGAGGGAGTGGAAAGACCTTTTGCTGTCGGTTTATAAAAGCCAAAATCTCTTAGAAAAAATACCTGTAACTAAAACTTGATCCTGCAGTAGTGTCTGATGGTGAGCTGCCACATCTTGTGGGTCTGGGGTACTTCTGTTAAAAAAGGTGTCGCTGCCTTGAGTGCGAGCACTCCAGTTGAGATGACTGGGAATGGCTCTTTGCTGGCTTTGGACAGCACAGATTCAGGAAGCAATTCTGAACGTCCCGCTCAGCAGCCGATTTACCGAGTAACATGGACTAAAATCCTTCCTCTGCAAGGAAAACATAAAGCCAGAGAAGAAGACTCGTGCATTGCCAGCAACGAGCACTTGCTCAGCAGTTTGGTTTTCTGTTTGCGCTGTTTTGCTTGGATCTTGTTCTAGCTGCTTGTGCGTCTTTTAGTAGCGTTTTTTTTTTTTCTCCGGTCAAACCACTCCTTGCACTTGGGTCAAGTGAGGCTTTCGTGAACAGGTTTATTTTTCTTTCTGGCCTCAGGGGCAAACGTGAATGCTGCTAAACTTCATGAGACAGCCCTCCACCACGCAGCGAAAGTGAAAAACGTCGATCTGGTGGAGATGCTGATTGAATTTGGAGGAAACATCTACGCAAGGGACAACCGAGGAAAGAAGCCATCGGATTACACCTGGAGCAGCAGTCCCACAGCGAAGTGCTTTGAGTACTACGAAAGTAAGTGAGAGATGATCCCCTGCCCCAGGAATTCAGTGACTGCCAACTCCATTGCACCACATCATGATTCTCAGCCCACTTTGATTTGTGGATCCCTGATCATCTTCCTGTGAAGGTATAGAGTTCTTGGTGGCAAACGTGCGCCAGCGGGCTGTAGGCTAGCTCTGCTTAATTGTGGTTGAATGACAGCAGTAAGATGGTTCAAATCATGCCCCCACTGAATTCGGGTCCCTCTCATGTGTCAGCATCAGCGTTTACGCTTTAGTGCATTAAGTCAGGTCAAGGAAATCGCCCAGTTGAAAACTCATTTTATTTGGGGCAGGGAATGTGTTAAACTTAGCAGCATTGTCTCTCTGAGTTTGGAGGAGACATTTGTCTGAGGTTTGAGGATGGCTTCAAGTCAGTCTTCGTATTGGTTACCCTTAGAGGAGTAATTCACAGACCTTGCTAAGCATTTGCAGACTGCTGCTGCACTAGATCCTAAACATCAATGGTTTGGGTTGGAAGGAACCTTTAAAGACCATCTAGTCCAACCCCCCTGCCATGAGCAGGGACATCTTCAACTCAATCAGGTTGCTCAAAGCCTCGTCCAACCTGCGCTTGAACACTTCCAATGATGGGGCATTCACAACTTTTCTGGGCAACCTGTTCCAATGTCTCACCACCTCGTCATAAAAAAAACATTCTGTATAGAAGGAAAAATGTCTTTCTTTTAGAAGAATAAAATATTTTCTGGTTTTGCAATCCTTTGTGTGGTGAGCACCTTATAGCCCCTTGTCTGTCCGACTTCTCCCTGTAGTGGTTTCTTCTCCAAGTTATTCTCCTCCAAGTTATGGCCTCAAGTTGTGCCAGGGGAGGTTTAGTTTGGACATTAGGAAAAATTTCTTGCTCGAAAGGGTTGTCAAGCACTGGAAGGGGCTGCCCAGGGAAGGGGTCGAGTCCCCAGCCCTGGGGGGATTTAAAAGCTGGGCAGATGAGGTGCTTAGGGGCAGGGTTTAGTGGTGGGATTGCAGGGTTAGGGGAATGGTTGGGCTTGGTGATCTTAAAGGGCTTTTCCAACCTAAACCATTCTGTGATTCTAAGACTCTTTTCGTTGCTTTCTTTTCTTAGAGAGCAGTGAATTGTGCTGGTCTGGCTACAAGTGAGCTGGCTGAAGAGACTGAATCCTACATGCCCATAAATACTCCTTAGATCTCGCCAGAGTTTACTGCCCTCTCAACCCAGCTGTCAGAACTGCACATGGAGTTGCTTTTCAATGTAGACTGTTTTCACCAGACCGTGCTAGCTTTAATAGTAATTTTTTTTCCTTTTGATTTATATCATTAAATCTGGGACTAGAGCCAGGATGGATGCAGGTCTTGGAGGCTGGTGCTTGCAGAGGCTATGGGGGTAGGGATAGCAGCTTCTTAGGACTGACCACTTCCAGAGCAAATTGCCCAATTGTAACTCCGTGTCCATGCACGAGCGTTAACACCCGGTGTCAAGGCTGCCGGATACAGTTTGGGGGCTGTCTGGAAGGGGCTTGGGGAATTTTATTGGAGCTCTTGGCAAGGTTCTGGGCAAAAAGGGTTAGCACAATCCTTGGAGGGAGAAATGGAGTGGTAGAAAAGTGTTTGTAGTAGGTTTTGTTCCTACGTACAGTGTTGCTGAGGCTTAATGCAGCATCACTAAGGGAAATCTGAAAGTCTTGGATAGCCCCAGTGGATCAGAGCGGGTGATCTGTGGGCACTGTTGGCCTTGGGAGATGCAGGTGAGGCGAAGCGCACTGTGTCTGTGCTCACTGCTTCTGGTGGGATTTGCATCGGGATGAGCCTTGAGAAAGCACTCCCGTGGGTCTGCAGTGCCTTCCTTGGGCCTGGGTGCTGTGGGAGGCTGAGCGCTTGTAAGCAGAGCCAGGCTCGTGATCATGCTGGGGGACGAGGGGACAGAGCGTACCCTCAGCAAGTTCGCTGATGACACAAAACTGGGAGGAGTGGCTGATACGCTGGAAGGCTGTGCTGCCATTCAGTGGGACCTGGACAGGCTGGAGAGTTGGGCGCAGAGGAACCTGATGGAGTTCAACAAGGGCAAGTGTTGGGTGCTGCCCCTGGGGAGGTTGAACCCCATGCACCAGTACACTCTGGGGGTGACCAGCTCTGCCAAGAGGGATCTGGGGGTCCTGGGGGCTGACAAGCTGACCATGAGCCAGCAGGGTGCCCTGGTGGCCAAGAAGGCCAATGGTATCCTGGGGTGCATCAAAAGGAGCGTGGCCAGCAGGGCGAGGGAGGTTCTCCTCCCCCTCTGTCTGCCCTGGTGAGACCCCACCTGGAGCACTGGGTCCAGTTCTGGGCTCCCCAGTTCAAGGAAGATGAGGAACTCCTAGAAAGAGTCCAGAGGAGAGCAACTAGGATGATAAAGGGACTGGAGCATCTCCCCTAGGAGGGAGGCTGATGGAGCTGGGCTTGTTTAGCCTGAAGAAGAGAAGGCTGAGAGGGGATCTCATCAACACGTACAAATATCTCAAGGGTGGATGTCATGAGGACGGAGCCAGACTCTTTGCAGTGGTGCTCAGCACCAGGACAAGGGGCCATGGGCACAAACTGAGACATAAGAGGTTTCAGTTGAATATGAGGAAGAACTTGTTGACTTTGAGGGTGATGGAGCCCTGGCACAGGCTGCCCCGGGAGGGTGGTGGAGTCTCCTCCTCTGGAGATCTTCAAAGCCTGCCTGGATGAAGTCCTGTGTAACATGCTCTAGGTGACCCTGCTTGAGCAGGGGGGTTGGACTGGATGATCTCCCGAGGTCCCTTCCAATCGTCGCGATTCTGTGATTCTGTGATCACCCTCCTGGGAGGTCTGTGCTCTGTGGGGAGGTCAGCCGTCCGCTGAGCTGCAGCCCTGACTTTGGATCCTCTTTTTCTCATTTTAGAAACGCCTCTGAGTTTGTCGCAGCTTTGCAGAGTTACAGTGAGGAAAGCCGCCGGGCAGCGAGCGCTGGAGAAGATTGCCAAGCTAAATATTCCTCCGCGAATTATCCAGTACCTGTCCTACAACTGACGGGCGAAGGTGACCGGGAAGGACGGTACCTATAGCTCCCACAGTATGAGTTACCCGTCTCTTTCTCTTCTACCTCCCCCCAAGAAATTAATTTTAATTTAAGCAAACTGGTGTAAATAGTATTTATGAGGCAACACTTCCTCTTCTCCGTGGGCAAAGACAGGCTCAGGCAACGTGTAGCACTGGCTTCAAGCTGTAACCTGTCCTGGGGTGATCTGTTGGATTGTCACTGTGTTCAAGGCTGTAGCCCTCGCTCTTTGAGCGGGATTAATCTTGTCTAATTTTACCTGTCTCTAGTCTAAAGGCATCTCTGTATGATCTAGCCAGGCTTCCTTTGCAGTCAGTGAAGAGACAGAGATACTTCTGGAGCATGATTCATCTGTCCCGTTTTAGATGCCCGTGCTGGGATGATACAGTGTGCCTCGGGAGCGCCTGTCTCCGCTGACTGCAAAGGGATTTAGCGGTGATACCCTCGGATACGGACGTCTTGTGTTTCTGCAGTGGGGGCGCTGGATCCCACCTCTGAGTTAATAACTCAAGTGACAGCTGCCTAACGCCAAGGGACGAGGCTCGAGAGACCTGCGCGCTCTAGCTGGAGGCAAATTAAGTCCCCAGCAAGCTCAGGACTAATTAGAGGCACTGCAACTGGTTACTGACTTTCCATGAACTTCAGTGGGCTTTGGCTCAACACCAGCAGTGAGGACAAAGTGCAGGGTTGACTTTGCCCATGCTTCTTCCTCGCTGAAGGTGAGCCAGCGCTTAGGTAGTGTTCCTCTAGGGTATCACCATATCTAATTTTGAAGCCCAAGCAGGAAGCAGGTCTCTTTGCACATCCAAGGATTCTTCCCTCCAGATTGCTGGTCCCAAAGAATATTTCTCCACTTGCTCTGGGCCGTTATGGCCACTCTCTTGGTTTTATGTGCAATAAGTGGCAGAGCTGCTGCCTGGTGGTCCTTGAAGTACAGCGAGGCCATGTCCCTTGTGTAGTGGCAGATCCCTGTGGTGTATACCCACACGTGAAAGGCAACAGGAGGGCAGGGCTCTGCCTTGGATCTTGAGATTTTTATTTTTATTTTTCCCCCTCTGAGTTTTCTCTCTCCATGCTGGAGCCTCTCCAGAGGTCAGCAGTGGGAGCCAGCCCTGCGCCGTGCGCCGCTAAATGTTGCGCTCAAATCCTTTGGCTTCAGCAGGCGCGACTGCAGCTTTGTCCTTCGGTGATTTAAACCCTCAGGGTGAGATTTGTATGAGCAAAATTGTCGTCTGCCTTCCAGGTGAGACGTTACGTGTTGCCTGAAGGCAGTAACCTACAGGATTCGTGGTACTAAGGGAACGGAGCTCCCTGATGACACCAGGGCAAGGCTTAGCACTGTGATGAGGACAAATTCCTCCTCTGAATGACAGCAAGTGTTACGCAATCCGCTGTCTTAACGTGGCATCGAGCTAACCCGGGGCTCTCAACATCCTTCAGGCTGTGAACTAACGCGTGAGAGCAAACGCTCGCCAGCAGGATGGGGCGCAACCTCGTGAGGGAGGGGGAAATAGCACAAGCACAGAGTTAAAGAGCTGGGGTGGAACTAAATGCACTTTAATGGTGACCAGCAAATCACTTCGTTTTTTTAATTTTTTGGCTAGGTTCATTCTCCCCACCCCCTTTTGTTGGGTTTTGGTTTGGTTTTTTTTTTTTGTTCTGTGCGGTATCATACAGAATAGGACTGCTCTGTGGGGGATTGTCTGTTTATAATTCTGATTTTTGTGTTTCATGTTTCAGAAATGTGAAATTCCCAAGAAGCTCAGGGAAGCCCTAGAGATGTTTAGTGTGGGATTTGTCCCTGTGATTGATAGGATAAAGGTTTTGTTTTGTATCTTTCAAGAAAAGCTTCCTCTGCCCAGCGTGCGTGTCCTTACAGATAAATATGCGTTAGGAAAGCGCACCTTTTGGTGATCTGGGGTGAAAACCTTCCGTCTTGGTTCAAATTCAAATCTCTTGTTAGGTTGCTTTTTTAACATTGCCTAAGCTGGTGAAATAATGAAATGGTAAAGTCCAAGTTTCCAATGTAAAAACAAAAGAGTCCGCGAACAACTGAGAATAAAATTACAAGTTCCTATTTATGTTGTCTTTATTTTTTTTCCTCTCTTTTAAGTCACCTTTCTGGTAGGTTCTAAAGTTTGATTATTTTTTTTTTTTTTTAATTTCTTTTAAGAGGCCCTGCTGATCAATGCATGCATCCAGGAAGGACTTACCAAGAGAGCTCAGCACCTCTTACTTGGTGGCAAGGGTCAGACTCGTTCAGTAGCAGTTTTCTTAATAAATTTGCTTCTTCCGGCTGCGTCTGGAGGGAGAGGTGTTCCAGGAAAGTCCTTTGAGAGCCAACGAGCTAGAAAACAACACCCGAGTCATTCCCCAGCGTGCCCTGGTACTGAGGCAGGTGGCCGGATCACGCCGCGGCTCTTTATGACCCGACGGGTGTTTACTTGTGCATTTCTCGGTTTCTAAACTGCAAGTGAAAATGGAGATTTGAGATTCTTTTTAATCTTTTATCCAACCTGTCAGACCCTCAGTTCTTTTAATCCTGCAGGGGTTTCTCAGCTGGTTGTGAAGCATCGTCTGAGTTACTGTGATTTACAGCTCGGAGTAAAGGCAAGGTAGGTGCCAAATTAAACCGATGGCGATGTTTTGGCTTCCCTTAATATCTCAGACTGTAACTTTTGTGGCAGTTAACAGTTATTGCCCAAGTAGCGGCATCACCCTGTAGTCTGGATAGCTGGGAATCTCTGCAGCCATCCCAGCTGAAGATGAAAATTAGAAGCTTTGGAGATAACGTTGCCCTAACCAGGGCTGGGGGCTATGCTGGGGGTCAGATTTGGATAATGGTCTCCCCTCTCCTGGTGAATTGCTGAGGGTACCTCCACTTACTAATACAAGAGGACATCGGAAAGCCTTCCCCAGCACTCCGCTTCTGCAAACCCATCGCGCTGTGTTGCCCTGCTTGACGTGAGCCACAGAAGCGGACGGCTCAGGATCCCCCTCAAGACATCCCAGAGGCCGTGGAGGCGCTGTTCTGTATCTCACTAAGCTGTACCCGTCTCTCCTTGCACCATCGCATCGCAGGGATGGGTTGGGAAAGGCAGTTGTGGCTGCCCCCAAGAGATTTCTCCTCCAGTTTTGTTCCTTACATGTATAAGAAAGAAGGTCTTGAGGTCTCACTTACCTGCTGGAAGTTTTATGCATCTCGCCTGGGCGATGTACCCTCTGGCCATGTAGGGTTGACTTCTCTCAGTTGTGGGTTAAAAAACTTGGGAGATCCCAAACACCCACTTCATGCTTAGTTTACAGGAACCGGGTGCCTTTGCTGGTTCAGTGGCAGTGGGTTTGCAAAGAGTTTGGGGGTTGTCGGGAATGAAAGAGACTGTCTAAATCCCCGGTATTAAGCGAAACTCCTCAGCTGACTCCGCTTGGGTTACACCCTTTGCTTTATTTTTATGTCAGGTTCTGGCTATTATTTGACTTCGTTCACCCTTTAATTCAAATGTCAAATCAGGGCATGAATCCAATGCAAACAAACCCAAACCCACCAGGCCAGTCCTGCTTTCACCCATCCCCTTCCTGCGCTCCCCAAACTGCAAACCCAGTTGAGCATTTTGAGCCACCTCCCCTCTCCTGTGGGTTTCTCCACCAGCTTTGCTACGGGTCCAGCAGCACGGGGAGTGGTCTGAAATAACCCTGCTGCTTCAGGGAAGCCCAGGTGAGAAAATGGCTTTGCTTTCATCCATGAAAATCATCTTTTGGACAGTCAGCCTTGCTCCTGGGCGCTGCCGGTTGCTGCTGGCTGTGCTTCTTAAGGTTGGTTCACGAGCGGGGAGCTTGAGCGTAGCAGCTTTTCTCCAACTATGTGAAGTTTGTCCAGAAAAAACAAGGTGTGACTGAAGCTGATGCCTTGAAAGAAAGCCTCATGGCACTGAAGAATTAACTCCTTCTAATGTCATGTGGCTGTTGCTTTCCCCGGACAAGGCGGAGAGGAGCCACCCTTCCCCTCCGTGCATGAAGGAAGGATTTGTGCTGTTGATTGCAGCTCCCCAAGTCTTGGTGTAAAGAAACGGTGGTGAAGTGAAGACATCAGACACAAACAGGGTTGTTGTTGGTTGGTTTGTTTTTTTTTTTTGATGTCTTCAGGGGACTTTGTCCAAGAGCGCAAACCCCAAGAGCTGCCTTAACCTTGGCATCAGCAAAGAAAGACCTCAGTGTCCTCTGGAAAGTGGCATCTGAAGATGAGTAATGCAGTGGTTGCATCACATTTAGGGCAAGCGTGAGCATGAAGTCTCTGTTCTACCTCTCGATTTCAAAAAAAGCAAGAACCCAAACGCTGAAGACCTTGAGTGTTTACCTGAGCTTTCACACTGTTCATCGGTTCCCTCTTCGGGGGAACGAGCGATCTTGCAGGCACTCGCAAGAAGATGGCGCCTGTCCCACACGCTTGAGTGGGCGCCGGTGTAAAATGGGTTGGGGGGGTCTTTGCTGACTTGAGGCCCAGCCTTGGGCGGCTCGGAGGCTGGTGAATGTCCTGTTCCCTGGCCTGCGGACGGCTGGAGCACGGATTGTTTTGAAATCGGGGGGTTTTAAGGCCAAGGTTGTTCTTTTCAAACTTAAAGCCAGCACCTAAATCCGTAGCAAGGTAGCAAAGCATAAGGGAGGAAAAAAAACCCCAAACCCCAACCTACTGATTTCTTAGGACCTCTGGAAACCTTGACTACGCCTACGTGGCACCTTTAGGTTTGCCTGTGCTGTTAGCTAACCCTGGGCTCTCCTCCCTGCATGCTACTGTGGACAAAGACCTCATGTGTTCCACAAAAAAAACCCCAAACCCAAACCAAATCACTTTTTCACCTAAAAGCGTAGATGCAGCTTGTGCTTTGGTAGGTGCCCTGTAACTGTGATACCCCAATGCTTCTCTGGGCTTAGGTGCTGAGACACCGGGCTCAGAAAGCGTTGATGGAAAGAGCACAGCACGCTCCGAAGATGCTGTTTGTATTTGCACCTCATTGTCTGATTTTTAATGGTTCCTAGCACACCGCGGCAGTGAGATTTGGGCAGGTGTGGACATGCTGGAGTGTTGTTCATGATTAAAACTTGCTCGGAAAGGTTTCATCTGTGCCCAGCTGTGTTTCTTCCGTAGGGGGTTGTGGTCGGGGTGTGGGGTCTGTGTGGGAGCCCTGCCAGCTCCTCTTGCTTTGTCAGCCTCATCCCTAATTGCATCGAGGCTGCGGGCAGGCAGCGCGTCAGCCCGTGGCTTTACGGACCTGTGCAACCAGCTGAAATTACCCTCCCGAGGATGAACCAGCCCAGCTCTGCTGGCGGGATGGCCACGTCCAAAGACAATGGCTCAATGTCCAAGTGGAAACAAGAACAAGATGTGTCCCTCAAGGGTCTGTACCGGGACCAAGACTCCATAATGTCTTCTTCAATGGCATAGCAGGATGGACTTTGCAGAGGACGCCAGGCTGAGTGGTGCGGTTGATTTGCTAGAGGGCAGAGCTGCCGTCATACAATCACAGAATTGTGTAGGTTGGGAAAGACCTTTGAGATCATCAAGCCCAATTGTTCCCCTAACCCTGCCATCCCACCACTAAACCATGTCCCTAAGCACCTCGTCTGCCCGGCTTTTAAATCCCCCCAGGGATGGGGACTCGACCCCTTCCCTGGGCAGCCCCTTCCAGTGCCTGACAGCCCTTTCGGGGAAGAAATTTTTCCTCATGTCCAACCTAAACCTGCCCTGGTGCAACTTCAGAGGTCCAGAGGGACCGTGACAGGTTTAAGGAGTGGGTCCCATGCAAACCTCACGAAGTTCCACAAGGCCAAGTGCCAGGTCCTGCACCTGGGCCAATCCCCAGCACTGATAGAGATGACTGGGAGGAGCCCTGCGGAGAAGGACTTGGGGATGCTGGTGGATGAAAAACTGGACATGAGCCGGCAATGTGCGCTGGCAGCCCAGCAAGCCAACCCTACCCTGGGCTGCATCCAAAGCAGCATGGCCTGCAGGGTGAGGGAGGGGATTGTGCCCCTCTGCTCTGCTCTGGGGAGACCTCCCCTGGAGCCCTGCGTCCAGCTCAGGAGCCCTCAGCACCAGGAGGACATGGACCTGTTGGAGCGGGGCCAGAGGAGGGCTACTAAAATGCTCCGAGGGCTGGAGCCCCTCTGCTATGGGGCCAGGCTGGGAGGGTTGGGGGTGTTCAGCCTGGAGAAGAGAAGGCTGCGGGCAGAGCTGAGTGCGGCCTTTCAATATGTAAAGGGGCTTGTAAGTAAAATGGAGAGAGACTTTTTACCAGGGCCTGTAGTTGACAGGAGAAGGGGCAACGGTTTTAAACTGGGCGAGGGTAGGTTTGGTTTGGACATAAGGAAGAAATGTTTTATGCCAAGGGTGGTTGGACACTGGAACAGGTTGCCCAGAGAAGTTGTGGATGCCCCATCATTGGAAGTGATCAAGGTCAGGTTGGAGGGGGCTTTGAGCAACCTGATCAAGTTGGAGATGTCCCTGCCCATGGCAGGGGTGGGGTTGGACTGGATGGTCCTTAAGATCCCTTCCAACCCAAACCATTCTGTGATTTTATGGTTCTGTAAAACCAGGCTTGTTTGGACAGCGGTCACAGGCTTTAAGGGACACGCTGGCGGAGATTTTGAGAGGACACTGAAATGATGAAAAAACAACCCCCACCATGCACACACACCCCCCCAGGTTTTAGTCCTGGTTTCCCAGGGATGCTGCCCACATCTTGTTGAAACCTGGGGAGGAAGGCTGGTCCTGGGGAAACCTCTTCCCCCTGAGCTGGGGGAAATCCTGAGTCCTGGAAGAAAACGGAGGCTGGAAACACCATCCCGAAGAAATTGAGAAGAAGGTGATGGTGGCTGGGGACAAAGGGACAGTCCCTCTCTTCCCTAAGAGATGTGTTCCGGCCAACCTGCTCACCAGGTCCTTCTCATGGACTGGAGGAGCCAGTCAGGGGCAAGGGAAAAGGTGCCTGTGGGTTTTTGGGAAGGTGGGTTTTTTTTGGGGGGGGGAATCAGCACCGATTTGTGACAGGAGTGTGAAA